CCCCAAAACCCCAAAACCCCAAAACCCCAAAACCCCTAAATTTAATAAAATTATTGAAACTAATATGAAGAAAGGGAGCAAAACAAAGTACAGTACAAATTTTAATCGAATGTCAAGTTTTAGCCTATTTTCGACTCTAAATCAGCTTTTTTATACAATTTAGAAAATTTTCTGAATGTGAAATGCAAATCAACATGAATCTAGAACATATTCATCATGACCAAAAGCAAGAGTATAATTCATTAAAGAAAGATTTATTTGAGATCCTGAGTGAATACTGCAAATTAAAGCGTAAGATTACCATAAAATTGATTCAGAGAATATTCCTTTGAGAAAAGTGGTCCAAGCACAGAAGGAAATTGATGAATATCTATGAAGTCTGATCCAAGCTGATTCTATGAGCATTACCAAAGATTCTCCAAATCCTTTAATGCTCTTAAGTTCTAAAAAGAGGCATCAAGTTAGACTGATTTCCTGTGTTTATTGGATCTTCGAGAATACCCAAAATAAAGCTATCGGCAAGATTGAAAGAGATTTAAAAGAACAGAATGAGAATATTCTCGACTTAATTCTTGGTAACTATTATCTTGCAAACTAAACTTTTGATTAAGAATTAAACTATGTATTAGATAATGGTCAAGAAGGATGCCCTATAATGAAGATGAAGCCAGAAAATCTTGATATTCAATTTGAAGAAGATAAAAGCGAAGTTGAGTCTTTAAAAACTAAATTTCTAAGGAGTAATAGCACAATCGAGGTACCTTTTTGTGAAACTTTAGGGAGAATTATTGACTAACCTTAAACTTGAAGATATGAGAGATCTGATAGTGAAGCAATAAAAATAACAACAAAACTCCAAAACTCTAACCCTGATCCAAACAGACACCCAAAGATCGATCTAATGCTATACGAATGTAACCACTCATTTATCTCAACACTCACTAAAAACCTGGACTTTCTCACCCAAAACATCGACTTAAAATCCACCTTATCATCCCTTCCCACTCCTCCACCCCACCCCCTGCCAGGCCACTACACCACCATCACCCAAACCCTCCTCCTCTTGAGACTCACCCACTTCCAGACCTCCCTATTCCCCCAAATTCCCCACCCCACCTCTCCCTCCCAGACTCTCTCAAAACTAATCCACACCTTAAAACTCCTGTCCCCTTTTCACCTCCTCTCCCTCCTTCAGACCAGCCCTGACCAGTCCTGCCTCCTCCACCTCTTCAGTTCCGACTACTCGTAATCCCTCCAGTCTCAGGTATAGGTACTTTCAAATAATCAGAGATCATGCTCCATTGATTTACACTAGTCATTTAGGGAATATATGGTAGGCTTCAGTGGGTTTTTGAGACTTTTTAGTGATGAACAGAAGGAAATTGACGCAGAAGGAATTTTGAATAGGTTGAAATTTATGAAAGTTTTGTAAGTTGAGTGGGATTTTATAGTAGGGATTCAAAGGAAATAGGGGTTTGTTTTGTAGCTGTTTTGAGTTCAGTGCAAGCGGGGTTTGTGATGCAGGAGAGATATGGTGAGGTTTGAGAATGAGGGTTTAGAGACTGAAGCGAAGTTGGTCGAGGATTATGTGCTACAAAGGTGATCAGAGATCATTGAAAATGACAAAGAAGAGTCAATTATATTCTTTGACCAAGACTCAAATCTTTTAAAAGATATAATGCTTGCACTGGGAAACAAAAGCTTAGCTAAGAAGTTTGAAAAGAGATTTTGTAAAATCTTCGTCTAACTTTCAGGTTCTAGTGACCAAACTGTGTTCTTTGATAATCTCAAAGTTACAGATGATGAGCAAATATCAGAAGATTCTAGCTCACAAGACCCTACACCAAAGTACTTGATTGTCTAAGCCTTATAGCTTTCTTTCTCCTGAGGAGCAAGCCTTGATATGGAGAAATCTTCAGATAAAATAGGTTGAAGATTTAGCATCGATGATTTTCAACCTAAATTATTAAAAAAGGGGTTTTGGGGTTTTGGGGTTTTGGGGTTTTGGGG